AAAATATTACTTTTTTTCGATCAAGGTGGAAACTGGCAACTTTGTCGTCGAGTAAGGTAATACATCTCAATTTTCATTACTATGGTTAATTTTAAAAGCTCTGGTTTCGGTAAAGGAACTGGAGGAAAATCAGGAAAATTCCTGTTCGACTGTGATGGTTGAATTTTGTTTACGCGTCATAGCATAAACATAACAAATTTATTTTCCTTTTCCTTATACAATCTGCCTTTTTTTATACTGTTTTTCGCAGCAGAGTTATCGATTATATTACAGAGGCTAATTTTATTACACAGATCACTCAGATTTAATGACAGAAACTCTATTATCGATTGTAATTTTGGCAACACCTGGCGAGTATTCGGTGTACAGATTATTGACAAAGTCGCTAGAACAGTCTTCCATTCATTACTTTTGTTTCTGCTCCGTTAAATTTGCCCAATTTTTTTATTAATGAACTCGATTTAACTACAAACAGTGAGTATTCAGGCAGATTGGCAAGCTTCAATGCGATGTGGCAAAAGAGATATACGCCTTTAAAATTCTGTTAATTTTGCGGGTGTAAAAAATTCAAAAAGTATACCCACCAAAAGTTTAATCGATCGTTGCGAAAACGTTATCAATTTCGAAGTAGTTTCTAAAAATACAATAAAGAGGGATTGTTCTTTCAATCTGTATTGGCAAAGGAAGATTAGCTTTGAAGACAGGGTTGTAGTCGAAGGCTCAAAAGCAGCTTCTATTAACCAATATGGCGCCGGTCCGAGGCACCCAAAAACCGGCCATGTTGATAATTTCCGAAGTAGGAGGAATTAGAACCTAAAGTTAGCTATTCCTTATTAAAGACCTCAAATCAAGTCTACATGCCAATTTTTAGCCAATTCGGTGAGATAGTGTGGCAGCGCCTTTTTAATATAGCTCGAATCTTACAGACAACTGCTCTTAAGGGATCTATACATTACCAAGCCGATTGTATTGAACGCATACCTAAACATGTTTAAAATCGGGGGAGGGGGTACCTTTTGATTAATCTAGGGCCAAGGTCAGTTCAGGCAAAAGTTATTTCGCCCAAAAATAAGGAGGTTTCCCCCGGCCCCATCCCTAAATTCGCCACAGTATAAAGAAACCACCCGTAAGCTGCGTAGCAGGCATTAACTAAAAGGGCTATTGGATGGAGGAAAGCGCGAAGAGTAGAAGTGGATTTTTTTTACGCTCATATTCTGAGAATAAAAACAATGATTGGCCAGAATAAATTAACTGCCAAGCTCAACATCACACCATTTGAGTATATTAAACTTGATCGACCTATAGCGTTTTCGCGCAAATGTGTCAAGTCAAATATGGCGCGGGTGGAAATGAGAAGAGATTAGAGTTTGTTTTGCAAGAATTGTTGTCAGAATTAGAACTGAAAAAAGGGCCTAAAGTTTACCTTGAAAGAAGAGCCGAAGACCGCAGTGAAACATCTTTTTGGAGAAAGATACCTAGTGGCGGTTTTATGTAATGTACGTATTCCACTAATATTGCCTTTGGTTAGAAAATCACATGGTTTGAAACCCGGTAGCGGCAGCTGGCCCTTATGTTCAAGATGATCTCATTGAATTGCAGTGTGTATCCTTACTGGGCAATTAACTTCTTGTTTAGCACCCGCTATGTTAAAAATTGTGCATTTAACATTTTCATTTTAACTCACGTCCCAACCAGTATTGAGGGTCCCCAATAAGGTTCTTCAATAATCCCGTAATCCCGACTCCAAATTTCGTGCAATCCCGAGGGTTATTTTTGGCGTCTACCTCCCGTGCATACTTTCAATCCCGAAACTAGCGAATTGTTTAATTAGTTTTTTCTTCACTTTGACATTTGTGTAAAGCGAAAAAAAAAAAACCATCGTTTTCGGTTGAGCTACGTTCGGTGATATTTTGATTCAAAAAAAGATTTATCCAGATTTTGACCTAAAGAAACTTATAGGGGTCAAACAATTGCTGAATACCTAGCGAGTCGTACGTTTGGTATGATATGGCGGTGTTAAAAAGTTTACAGAGTATTCAGTATATGGTGAGTAATACTTGGGCTAATTACAAGTACATCTCTTGCAAAGCTTAACACAGAAGAAAATGATTTTTGCAGTCGTGGGTCGGTTCGCGTAGAAGAAAAAAAAGGCCTTCTATATGACCCAATTTAATTGAGTCAGCAAATAATGGAGAGAAAAACTTGATTTTTTTTAAAGAAATTTGCAAATGAAAGATGAAACTGACCAATGAAACTGTCAGCACCTGCTTGAATCAAGTACCTTTTTCACTGTTTAGCGGTCGAAACCGACAATGCCAAGTGACCTTGCTATTTTTTTGCGACAAATTAAGCAATAATTTGTTTGTTTGTGGCCTGATTAACGACAATTACCCACCATTGTGATTAGCCGATAGTAGGGCGCGTGCGCGTGGGGGTCACGAATGAGATCGGATATAGTAAATTAAAACAAACAGTTTAAATCGCAAACATCACAAGAAACAAACATGCTGAGGTATAATCTATTTAAATGAGGTTCTATCAGTGATAGTTTTTCATATCATTTTATTTCTCATTTTGATCGTTTTCTCGTTTCCTACGTGCATTACATGGCTGCCCTGTGCCCTTTTCTTTAATTACATATCTCTCTCTTTTTTAGAATCGTTTGCTTGCTCTGCTTTAATTTAATGAGAAAATCACCCTGGATGCCCAAGCTATTTTTTAACTCCGAGTTTCGAAGGAAAAGTTATCGGCTGAAATTCATTGCAGGAAACTCAGAAGCAGGTGGCTGGAAACTGGCCAAATAACCCTGCACATCCGCACAGTACGAAAACTCGCATAATTTTAAAGATACTTTAAAGAAGGCGGCAAAGTCTTGAGGCAGTTTCAAGGTTAGTAATTTCACTAGCTATAACGGCAGATTAGGAGCCCATAATCCGGGAGTAAGTAACTCTTATACTAGGCCTATGTCACGGCGTTTTCACTGACCTATTTATTTTTAGATACATTTTAGAGTCCTTTTTCTACGGAAATTTGAAGCTCCGCGCCATTTATCAGCGCATTGTAAATATATGATACCACAAAGGAAAACTTGACGTTATTAAAAGGTTAAAGATGAAATTGTCAGAGGTTTTGGTTTTGGTTTATGTGGGACATGAAAGATATTCTAAAATTTGCCCCAAAATCGTTCAGATATTTGATTTGCTCAGGTAAGAAGGTAAGGTATTTACAAGCGAAAGTAGCGGGAAAAGGGGCTACAAACTGAGTACACAATCTGTGATCGCTGTTTCTCGTTTTCGTGAACCGTAAGAGCACGTAAAGTGCAAATACTTGACTTTTCTACCGTGTCATGCCGGAGGTTTGAAGACATAAATGGTTTACTGCATTTTCCAATAATATGAGACCTCCTCAAACTAAAAGTTTTAATCAACGGTCACGTTATTAACTTTTAAGGACATCTTTGGTAGCGAAGGGGTGCTTACCAGCCCAGGGAGGGGGGGGGGGGCTCTCCCTGTAATAATATATTTGGGGAGATACTCCCAAAGGGGGTACTGTTTTTCGGGCGCGGTGATTTCCAAGGGAATAGGTGAATATCCTACATTATTCACTGATTCACGTACAAATACTACTATTTACCGCAGCAAA